CCACCCCCGCCGCCTTTTCTGTTTCTGCAGTGGTGTGTCACCTGCAGTCAGCTCTTGGTGGCACAGATGGTGAGCGGTTTTGTAAGTGCTGGTGTTTTCTCTCCAGAATTATGACCTAAAGAAATTTGCTTATCTGTTCCTTCTCTGTTGTCATGTCAGACCTCCAAATTTCCTGTGTGTGTGTGTGTGTGTGTGTGTGTGTGTGTACATACACTTACATGGAGCTGTTGTAGCACAAGATTGCATGAGCTGAACAAATACACTATATTGACCCCTGTAGTATTGATGGCCAGTGAGAACCCTTGACATGCTGCTACTCTGTAAAGAAAAGAATACAATAGTACAGATTGAAATTTAAAGAAGATTTCTGTATTTGAAAAAGGATTATTTTCAGTCTCTTTAAAAGAACATATAATAAATAGCTCACAAATATCTGAACTTAGAGCTAAACTAACACCGAGTGGATAGCCAGGAAGTTTTCAAGAAATCTCTTTCAGGTCATTTACTGTTATTTTCTCCCCTTTACTGCCATACTGCAGGGCAATTACTCATCAAGAACTTTCTAATGAGAATTATTCTTCTATCTTATGTGTACTTCACAGTTTTTATACTGACAAATGTAAATTGTCTCTAACATGCAGTTTGAGGCTTTGATATACATTGAGTTCATCTGATCTTCTTCTGTGCGTCTTGGCTTCTAAATTTTGTTTGTAAACTCCTTGTAATCAAACACTGTTTTTCATTACCTCCGTACCTTACTGTTCTGCACGCAGGAATAACTGCAGAGTATTGGTATAGGAAATAATAATAATGCCTCCCAGTTATTGAGCACTTTCTGGTGCCTCATACCACTCTAAGTTCTGTGTGAATTATTTAGTCATTATAAAAGCCCTCGGAGATAGGCACTATTTTCATCTCCATTTATACATGAGGAAACTGAGGCACTGAGAGGTGAAGTCATTTGTCCTAAATCAAACAGCTAATAAGCTGGGAAGGCAGGATTTGGTTTTAGAATCTGGTATCTTAAGTACTGTTCCATACTTTTTCTCAGATACTATGCTATAACCTCTCTCAAGATATGTGGTGGTTGGTTTAAAGTTTATGCACAGCAATTTATTATTATATTTTAGCTATACTATGTTGAGGAGTATAATGGAAACTATTTCATCAGAATAGCCAACTATAGTTTCCTGCACATTTATATCGTTGCTTTCATGGTCAGAGGATGGGGAAGGAGAGAGGCACATGGACATCGAATTGGTCTGTTTGACCAGGTGGGGAGCTTGTCCTGAGCTTTGTGGGAAGAAATGAAAACCAATGGCCCCAGGTGTTTCAGGCTTGTTTGTGCCTCTTTGCTGTTCTCCCTATTGGCTATGACAATGACAGTTGAGTCTGTTTGATTTGATGGAGGAAAACAGAGAATATCAGGGAAGAAAAACGGTAACTTATGCCACTTATTTGAGCATTTTATGGCAAGAATTCTTTGTGAGTAAACATTTTTAAATGTGGTTAATGAAAACTTTACACAAGATGATAGAAGTAAAGTGAATTCCTAAAGTGATTTTTACAAAAATGGAATCTGACAGCCAGGAAGAGCCCTAGACTGTCAGACTGTGGGCTTAGTGCCTTGGTTAGTCGGACGGGTGGCCTTCGGGGATTCTGGAGGAGGGTCCTGCCTCCTGAATGAACTTGACCTGTTTCTCTCCCGACAGAAGTCAGCTCAGGGCACCACCAGCACGGGAAAATGCAAGCCCACGAGTTGTTCCGGTATTTTCGGATGCCAGAGCTGGCTGACTTCCGACAGTACATTCGTACCCTTCCAACCAACACGCTCATGGGCTTCGGCGCGTTCGCAGCACTCACCACTTTCTGGTACGCCACGAGGCCCAAGGCCCTGAAGCCACCATGTGACCTCTCCATGCAGTCGGTGGAGGTGGCGGTAAGTGGAGGTCTGGCCTGCCTGGGGATTTCCACTGTGTGTCCCCAGATGAGCCAAGCCCCGTTGAATCCACATTGCTTGGGAGGGCACTTTGTAAGGGAAAATGTACTCAACAAACAGAAGTTTGCTGATGATTGTAAATGGAATTGGAGGCCAAAATGCAGGCAGAGGGACAGATGAGGCGGGTTTGGCTGGGGGTCTGCCCATAGTCACAGGGCTCGTTCCAGAAGTCCCACAGAGCTGCCTGTGCTAGGCACCGCGGTAGGCCCGAGGTGTATGAGACACGAGGGTCAGGAGGGACAGGTACAGGGCCCCAGCTCTCGCAGGGCACATGTGCTAGCAGAGAAGAGGGCTGTCAAGCCAGTGTCACAGACAGAGGATTTCGCTTGTGCTGTATCCATAGTTAGAACACATCCCCCAGCTGCTGAAAGAGACCCCGGGGTCTCAAGGAGGAGGTTAGACTGGGAACCTGCCCGAATAACGTGGCCACAGACTCGACAGGACACCCAGGAGGCGTCTGAGGCTGAGCTGTCCAGTGTCACTGTCGTTCCTAACTCGGGCAAACAAAGGTCATGCTGTCATCGTCACGAAAATTACAGCAGAGCGTGCATTCCATAGTTAGGGGCGAATGGGTGGGATTGCCGAGGAGATGCAAACACCCTTCCAGGCAGACCCTTCCCAGGGCCCTTTCCCGGCCCCCGAGTCTGCTCAGGCGCGAACCATGAGGGCTGAAAGGTGAGGCCGGGCTTCTCCTCTCCACGCGGCCCTTTCTTGCTTTCCTGCCCAAGTCCGAGTGAGTTTTCAGTGCGTATTACTTTCGACATATATGGAAACAATGTTGTAAAATGCAGAATTGCCTCACTTACTGCTCTTGGATGTAGGCGAGCCCCCCCCCGCCCCGGCTGGCAGGCACGTGAGGGAGGGTGTCCTTCCAAGTAAAGCCCAGGCCGGAGTCATGGCTTCTTGTTACTTAGAGGATTTTAGTTCTTTTAGACAATTTCTTGGATTCATTAATGTGGAACTCCTAAAATATATAAAAGGTACGTTAGTTTTATTCATGCCAAAATGTAAAAATAGAAGGACTGAACTGCTGAGGAGAGATGGCTGTAAGATACTTTATTTCTATATAGAAGGTCAACTGAATATTTCATGTCAGCATATCATATGCCAGTAATGAGTGGAATTTAACATTTCCTAATAGGTACGTGTGAGGTTCGGGACATTCTCCTCTCCTGGCAGGGACCTGATGTCTCAGTAGCGTTGCCATCACTATGGAGAGGACTTGGCAAGTGCAGATTTAAGATGTTTATAATTTAGCAGTAACTGTAAAAAGTGCCTAATTCTTATTTCTTATATGAGAAATCGGGGAGACACTTACAGTGTGATTTTTAAGCTCCAGCTTAGCATGAAGTCATCGAGCCTTATTAAAATACTCATACACATTCTCTGTAGGACAGTTTAAAACTACAGATAAGCAGAAAGAAAATTAAAATCTATAATTTCACTATCTGGTGTGTACGCTTCCTGGCTTTTCTGTTTGCTTATAGAAATGGATTTAGCTTGGATTTTCAGAATTTGTAGGTCTTAGGTATACAGAATTTGCTTTGCATTTCTTAAAAAAGAACTTAAAATATTGAATTTGAGATTAGCTTTGGCGTTATGATATTTAGTGATTATAGATGCTTTCCTAGATGTGGCAGAAAGAGGAACTTAATTCATTTCATTAAGTATTAATCAGGAGCTTGTATATCTGCCACTGTTGCAGGGGCTGATCACCCGATGAAAATATTGTTGCTTCGGTCCTACTCTGAAAACAAGTGAGCACTGTGTGCCAGTCCCCACTCTCACGGCCCCCTCCCATTTCCTATATGCGGTTGTTTCACCCTCCCCTTCCCATTAACTTTACTTGGATATTAAAATGAGGAGAAGCTGCTATTTTTGGCTTGATTGCATCTCATCACTGTCCACACTGGCTGTTTCCCAGCTACACTCTTTTAAAGCAGCAGCACAGAGGTGTTTTTTTATGTTGCAGCTTGGAAAACATCCTTTTACCAGTCAGGGTTGTAAAGAGGATGTCAGCGCCCGTGCTCTGCACCTGCGCAGGAAAAGTGCTGAAGACATAAGCTGCAGAATGGGACAGACCCGACGGAGTTAGCAACAGAATCCAGAGGCGTTTTAAACTTGTGAACGAGTTTGATCAGCACCCTGTTTAGAGAGCTGTGTCCCTCTGTCTGTACCTACAGCTCACCAGCCTGCAGCAGTGACAGAGAGGTGGGCCTTTCCCCACGGGTCAGGGAAGGACTTCCCTCTTCCACAGAGTTTTTGCTGCTGCTCCTCCAGAAGTAAGTTTCTGTGGGTAGAAGCAGGTTTCTGTGCGAGTGTCTAGCTTTTGTTTTTTTTCTTCAATCACTTTCACCAGTGATAACGCAAGTTTTCCAGTTTTCGCTGGTCTCAGCCTTTTCTCTGGGATTATGGTCTCCATGGCCTCTAATGAAGATGATCTTCACTGGAGTGACTGGGAACCCTTTGGGATTGATCAGGGCACAGACCATGGTGGCTGCAGTTAAGGGACACGAGAGCATGTTGGAGTTGGAAGGGACCAAAGGGGCAGAGAGACGTGGCCGAGGCTGGACCCTGCTGCTCTGCTTGGACCAGGCAGCCCTGGGCTAGTGCATCTGACTTTTCTGACCTTCAGATTCCTCATCTGGAAGGTGCCAGTACCTTCCCCATGTCACTGTTGTTAAGAGGACCATGTAGAGCTATGCAGAGCATCTGCCTGATCCCTAATAAGTGTTCAGTAAATGTCAGTTTTCTTCTTCTGTAAAGGTCTCCTCTTTCAGCCCTCACATTTTATACATAAGGAAGCACCTGAGTCCAAGGAGGTGACGTGTCACACAGTCAGTGGGAGACTTGGGGCTCGGGTATGCTGTCTTCATCACAGTGATTGAAAGTTATGTATTATGACTACGGTGCTGTGGGACACATATGATTAGCAACTTTCCTTAGAGCTTTAACCCTGTGTCCCAGAATGTCTGACACGAACAATGTGCTCTCTGGATGTGACCCTCCATAAGTCACAGAGAGGTAGGCATTCATTCAGCAGGTACCCAAGTGTCTGCTGCATGGTGTGTACAGTACCAGGGATGAAGAGGCTGCCCTCAGGAAGCACACAGGGGGGCAGGAAGTTCTGCTGAGGATCCTTCCACCCCTGGCAGAGGACAGGGGTCATCCTTAAACCAGGAGTAATATAAGGGTCTTGTATTCACGCCATAAAACCAGAACTGTGGTTCAAGTAAATGGGACACTTGCCTGTGGAAGCAGTGCTCAGTAACTAGCACAGTGTTAAAATTCAGAAGTCACAGCCCTTCTCAAGGCCACGGCTTGCCCAGGCAACCTCAGACCTCCAAGCTCACATGCACATTGCGGCAAGGACTAGCATTTTTGTCCATGTCAGAGGGTGCGTGTGGACACTGCTACTGAGAGGGATCTTCCCGTGTGGCTGGCAGAATCACTGGTTTTACACACACGTGTGTCAAGACCTACTTGCAAACTGGCGTGAGCAGAGTCTGCAAGAGAAGAGAGAGGTCACTGAGTCACCAGTTTTTATGGAGACCCATACTGGACTGTGCAGACAAAGTGTCAGGCTATGGGGATAGTGACAGTGTACAAACAAAGATGGTGATGTCAAGGGAAAAGGCTAACTCTTAGGAACAGGGAGTAGAAGAGTGATTGTCAGGTCTGGGGGCTGGAGAAATAAGGAGGGGCTGGTAAATAGTACAGACTTTCAGTGAAAAGATGTTAAGGTCTGATGATCTGATGTATCATATGGTGATTACAGATGACAGCACTTTATTTGTATAATTGAAATTTGCTGAGAGTAGAACTGTGTTCTCACCAAGAAAGAAAAAAAAACACTGGTAAGAATGCGAGGTGATGGATGCGTTAACCTGATGGGGGGACCCTTTCACAATGTACACGTGAAATATGTTGCAGTTTTGTCAGTTATGCCTCAGTAAAGCTGAAAAAATAAAACAAAGAATGGTGGTGCCCTTCTGGACTTGAACAACTGGGGCTGAGTAGGGGTGGTGGTGTGAGTTGGGCAGGACCAGCCAGCTCTGTGAGGCAGAGATGTACAAATGGGTGGGTGCAGGCAGAGGTTGGGCCACCCCTCCACAGACACCATTGGGGGTCTGTGGGAGGGAGGGCAAAGTCACCTGTAAGAGGGGGCCTTAGACTGACAGATTCAAACCAGGCAGGAGGTAGCAGGTGAGCATGAAGAGGAAGGGAGAAATACTAGGAACAGTCGCATTGTTTCCGCAGTCATCTGTAAATACAAGCATAAATATAGACATAACTCGTCTCTGGAACCCTCGGAACAGTCAGCTAGACATGTGCGTGAGATTTGGAGGAATCTCCTGGTTTGATGGTCTGGCCTCCTATCTGTCAGTCATCCCCGTGTAAAGCTTGACTGTTTTTAGGCATTAACTTTCGTTTATGTACCATCTGTAACTACAGGCTCTGGTTACTGTTCCCATGGCCTGCTCCCCTGGTGCTGATTACAGTATAACTGTCAGTCACAGATGTGTGCAGATTTGCCCCTGCAGCCCCACCTGGGGCAGCGTTTGCACTGTCATGCTTGAGAATCTGCGGACACATTCTCCTGAAGTGTCGCAGCCTCTGGGTATTTCAGCAGGCCACCCTGCGGCTGGCACAGTTGGGGCAGTGCAGGTGGGATGGGTAGAGGGTATTGGAGGGGCGTTTTTGTCTAGACATGTTATTCTGGGAGTGTGCAAACATCAGCACTTCTGTACCTATAGGAAACTTTCGCCCCTTTTCTAAAACTTGGGCTTTTTAATAACAAACTATGAAAACCCTGCTAATATTCTTTTTCTTACTAAACTCACATTATAGGAAACAGCTGAGTTTCCCTGTGTTGTTGGGCTTGTCTGCTGACTTGAAAGTGACTAGTGATTTGAACGTGGTGGCAGAGGGTTCGTGCT